CCGGAAGGAACGCCAGTGAACATCACTGGCGCAACGCGTCCCGGCAGACTGGCCTACAACAGTTGGGTCAGAATGAGCCGCAATGGAGAGACGGATCAAAACGCTTGCAACTTCAACGACTTTGCTCTGGTCAGGATCGACGATGCCGATAAGGGTAGGGTGAACCCCACCATTCCCACTTTTGGCGGACCCTCTGGTCTCAGAGACACATCGTCCGGCCTGGGAAACAACGAGCCAATCTATTCTTATGGTAATTCGGTCCTCAGACAAGGTCTCACTTTCCTTTCTCCCAAATACGGTCTCAACGTCGCCACCCAAAACGGTGGATGGGACCACAACACGGTGAGCTCATACTTTGCCGAAAATACCGCCGCTTCGGTTGCGCGCATCTGACCCTTCGCGCCCTTCCATCGCAGTACACTTTCACCCCCGGCATTCCCGGCGACTCTGGCTCAGGATTCGTCGACCGCCAAGGCAGAGCCTACGGCGTTCTTTCCACGCTGCAATTTGCCCCCCGACCCTTCTCCAACGGTGTCGCAGATCTGCCCCTCGCACTTCGATACCTCCGCACCCGCTCGTCCGATTTCCCAAACCTCAGACTTGTTCCCGGCACTGCACCCTTCAGAGTTGCTTTGCCGGGTCTCGGAAGCCTCTTCGGAGGCGGTGCTAAAGCTGCCTCTCAACGCAGCGTGACTCTCAAGGACCTCAAGGCCTGAAGCACATGCGCACTGGGTTCTATCACATCGTCCTGCTCCATTCTCATCGATGTAAAGCCTAGTCTTTGAATGCGCAAATATTGAATTGCCCGACGCGTGTCGATTGCGGTCGCCCAGTGTTACATGACTTCTGGTGCCTGATGATCATTGAATGGTACAACTACATGCTGATATCCTCAGCGTCGATTCCAGAAAGATCCCAGTATGAAACTTGAGTCTGCTGATCGGCTTCTGCCGTTCCAGTCGCAGCTAATTCCGGCTCGCTGAAAATAGCAGCCGTGCTCTTGAATCGATTCAACGATAAGCGCGAAGCGCGAGAGTCTGGTCCGTCTAGCGTGATCGAAGCGATGGGCTTGACCTGTTGCGAGCCGTCTGCGCGGACAGAAGCCGCGCTGTTGAGTTCGCGCAAAACGTCTCGCGGTCTCCAAACAAGGAGCTGTCGCCTGATAGCAAGTGCAGATTCAGTCGAGACGAGCGCAATGAGCAATTGGCCGTACCAATCAAAGTCGAGGACGATTGATGAAACGCCAAGAGCACATGAGATGAAAGCAGTCCGTGGAGACGACCCAGGTCCGCCTGTAAGTGGTGAGGATTGGGAGATGGTGGAAGCGGTCACATGCAGCTCGGAGAAGCTTCCATCCGCGCCGCCAGGGCGGGAGCTTGCAACTAGGAGGAACTCAGGTGCGCCCCTGCCCATCATCGCCGTTCCTTCAAGCAGGATTTCTCGCACCAGCAAGGCGCCACACGAAGCTTGAGAGCTGGCGTGAGTCGAATGGTGATCTCTAGCAGAACCCATCGAGGATGACGAGAATAGGGACTCGCCAGCAAAACTGCTCGACATTGGCTGTGAATAGCTCATGGTACGTTCAAGTGCCTCTGAGAATAGCTTCGACGAGCTTTTGAGCACCGTCTCGAACAACGTCGTCAGACTTGCGCTTGTGGGCGAATCCTGCAGCGATGGCGGCACGTGCGTCGAAGAACCAGCGAATAGCTTCGGTGGATCGCAACGATGTTCAGCGATGCCACCAGTCGTCGACGCTTCGGCGAATGTGTTCAGGCGTCCGCGCAGTCTTTTCAAACGTGAGCGTAAATCACCAGGTCCCGCATGGTAGGTCTCGGATCCAACCTTCGCGCACGTCGCTGCGAGCAGCTCGACAGCAGAATCAGGGCTGTGTGAAGCTGCAAGACTAGCTGTGTCAGGTGCGGCCTCCCGACGATCAGAAAAGTCCTGGGGTTGCGTCGGCAATGGCACACCGTACAGGGCATGGTCAAGTGTTGGAGAAACAAAGCCTCTGCGGATGAGCTCCGCCACAGTCAAAGCGTCGTGGTGGGGCTTTGCAGCTTCTCCGCCTTCAGCGCATCGAAGTCGATCTTGCCGATCTCGCTCAACGTTCCACCAATTGAAGAACTCTTCCCAAGCTAGACCCTCGCACTCAGCTTCTCGCTGCGCTTTGAGACCCCTTTTGAGGGCCATTTGAAGCAATGCGATGTTCGCTTCAATCTCTGTAGTGATGGCCGCAGAGTCTGAAAGCAGAGCGCCAAAGCGGGTCGTCCTGCGGGATTTGCGTTGATCGCAGAGACTCATGTCAGCAATCAGGGAAGGAAACGTTCGCAAGACAAGGTGGTTCACTGACCAGGTGACACAGCCTTTGACCTCTTCATACGTCACCAGCATGCGCTCAGCAGCCTGACTGACGTCCTTGCCAAAATCTTCTGCTAATTTGTCGGCAGCTCTGAGCATCTCGTCCTTCATCTTGTCCAAGACACCTTGGGTGAGACCTTCGTTGCCAGCAAGCAGATGGTCCAGTGCGTCAGTGACGCGTCCAGTAGTGAGAAGGAGCATCATGTCCCTCTCCAGACCCGCTCTCGTCGGTGCGTCTGGTCGCGAGTAAAATTGCTCTGACACTGTGCGACAGTGAGATTGCCAAGTCGCTGCATGTGTTCGCATTGTCGAGTACGTGGTGCGAATGAAGTGTAAATGTGCCAGGACTTGCGTCGATAGCGCATGAAGATCAGCGGACAGCTTGGCAAGGACGCATGCAGGGCCAAGCAAAGGCGAAAGCTTTCTGAAAATGGGCGCACTGCCGCTGGTCACTATTTGCAGCGGCAATTGATATTGCGTCAAGACGATTTGCTCCTCGGCTTTGAGTTCTTTGAGTTCGTCAGGCTTTCGCACGATCAGATGCAAGTGCTGAAGATTGGCCGACAAGGCAGCCGACAAGATCTGCTGTGGCTGCGTCCCGTGCATCGCGGACGACGGAGAACTTGCAAGCTCCAAAGCCCCGAGATAAGCGCTTCCTTCCAGCAAGAAGTCCAACCGATCATTGGTCCACGCGACAAGCATGCTGACATCGACATCTTCCTCGTCGGAGAAGCACTTGCGACGCTGTGCAGCTTTGTCGCGTGCAGCTTTATACATGGCCGTGGAGGTGCCCTCTTCCGTGTTCCTCACTAGACGGTCCTTGCTCTCTTCGAGATGGATGTACGGCAATGCGTGGAGCGCAGGCCCAATGCCGCGGACATCAGATATGGGTTGCTCTGAGGCGAGACCCGAAGCGTTGGCCGCTGCACGCGCGTTGGCAGCTGCTAGCTGATGAGGCATCAGCCTCACAGCAGGTCCAGTCGAGCTGAGCGCAGGATCGACAGGCGCAGTCAGCTTTGGCAGACTTGGGAACCCCGCAGAAAAGGCCTTGTGTTTCAACGTCGAGCTCGTCCAAACGCAACCCCCCATTGTGGGTTGTTGGACGGCAAGCGAGGTGGGTGGCAGCTCGTACAAGACCTCGCGATAACCATCAGAGACACGGTGTACAGTGATGAAGCGACGAGGATGCTGCGCAGGCGCTTTGCCTTCATCCCCAGCATCGACGAGGACGAGACGATGCAAAACGGCAAATCGTCGACCATCGGGACTCCACGTCATGCCGGGAATTTCGTGCCTGACTTCGCCCTTCGTGCCTGCCTTCCATATCTTGGCCATCGTGAGGTCCACGCTCCAAACCTGCTGAGCTTCATCTCCACATCGCCATAGTGAAGCCTTCATCTGACCTTCTCGGAGTACTGAGTGGCCTCCCGCAGGTGCGGGTGGAGGCAATCCTCTTCTGGCAGCCTGCATGGCTAGCATTCGCGCTCGGGCAGCAGCTTGAGGATTCAATGGTGCAGCGGGGGCGTCAGAAGGAGGTGCGGAAGACAATATTAAGACTACGTCCATGGTTGGTGCGAGGGCATCCTTGCACAAATGGTGCCTCCATTGCGGTGCCTTCACTCCGGAGCCCGTGGCTGGAGCTGGCACGGGTGTCCCGACGATGAAGGTCGAGAGACGCGAGGCAAAGCTCTCGCCCCGATCGCCCGCAGCTGCGACCTGCCCAGCCCCGTCCATGTTGCCTCTGGCAGGCTGAGCCAAGTTGCTGGGAATGTCTGCAAGCGCAACAGGACGTGAAGCGTCAGCTCTACGTCTTCACGTGGCCTCCAAGGTAGCTTGTCAGATGCAAAAGACTTCAAAGAGGATCAGGGACGCCCTAGCGTATATATAAATATGGACGTCCTTGTTAAGCGTCGTCGTCAACTTTTGTTAGTCCGACTGGTGCCAGCATGATTCTCATCATTCCTCTCTTCGCCCTTCCCATGCACTATCAGTCTGAGTGTCAAAAGGTACAGGAGGCTCACCTGCTGATCAGTAACAAGTCAGTGACGTCTACATGCTTGATCCGAGTTGGGGCCGAACTAAGAGCTGTTCGCTGGCCTAGCTCGGTGTAGCCCTACTTGATCCTATTTCAGCACTGCAGAGAGAGTTGAGACCGCGGACGCATGCTGCAAGAACCGTACACTTGCAGCCCACATCCAAACGAATGATCCTGCCCGGGTAGAGATTGAGGTCGATGGTTGTGACAAGGAGCAGGTGGATGGTGGCAGATGCGTTCTTGCCTGCATGTGAAGTTCTTCTGACTGAACACGCGCGCGTGCATCGGACGCCAAGCGCCATGCTCTCGCGCGT